GGGGGGGGAGAGAGGGATGAGGGCAGGCGCCACGCTGGGTGACTCAAGCCTTGGGTACGAGGGGGTGGACAACCCCGTCCCCACCCTGTCACCACTCACCTGCAGGCAGGTCTGGACCTGTGGGACATGGCTGAACCTGCGTGGGAGAGAGGGTAACACGTGGGTGACGCGGGTGGGGAATCCCCACTCCCAACGCACCCGCTCTCCCAGTTGCCAATAGGCTCCTGGTTGTCAGTAGGCTCCAGAGTGAACGCTCTCAGAATGTTGCCCAATTGGGACCCAGTTTGTCCCCGTCCCCAGCAGTACCTGCAAATCTGTCAGCTTCTGAAATCCCGTCCCGTGTCTTCTGGGTTGTGTGTCCCCTGCGGCTGGTGACAGTGGCTCTTATATAGGGCCAGGCAGGGCAGGGGTGGGGGCAGAGCCCGCCCCTATAATTGCATGGGAGCCAGCTGGGCTGGGCAGGAGATTGCACAGCGGGAGGATGGGTGACGGGGCCACGGAGCGATGGTGAAATGCCACCTGGTCCCTCTGCATCCCCCATGTCCCCCTGCCATGATGCCCGTGGTCACTGTGGCTGGGGTGCCCCCCACTGTGTCCCCTGTGCCATGACTCTGCATGCCCCGTGGATGGTCCCCGCGATGCCCCCCATGCCCTGTACCCAAGACGCTGGTGTGTTCCCTGTGCCCCATCCCCGCGGTGCCCATCGGCCCTGTCCCCAAGCTCCCACGTGCCCTGTCCCCACAGTCCCCCGTGTCCCATCCCCTTGGTGCCCACGTGCCCTGTCCCCACGGTCCCCATCCTCATGGCCTCATGAGCCCCGTCCCCACGGTCCCCCGTGTCCTGTCCCCTTGGTGCCCACATGCCCCGTCCCCACGGTCCCCCGTGTCCCGTCCCCTTGGTGCCCACGTGTCCTGTCCCCACGGTTCCCCGTGTCCCATCCCCATGGTGTCCACATTCCCCGTCCCCACGGTCCCCCATGTCCCATTCCCACAGTGCCCACAGGCCTCGTCCCCACAGTCCCCCGTGTCCCATCCCCTTGGGGCCCACGTGCCCTGTCCCCACAGTCCCCATCCTCATGGCCTCATGAGCCCTGTTCCCACGGTCCCCTGTGTCCCATCCCCCCAGTCCCGCGTGCCCCATCCCCGCCATGCTGTGCCACACCGCGCGGC